TCGAGCTATGTTTTGTGATGTAGGAGTAGGTTGGAAGAAAGTTAGGGGCGGCCAGACCAAAACATGGCAGAAATTCATGAAGTTACTGACAAGTGGACTGAGCCATGTTGGTAGATATAGGCTACCTGGTTGGGGTCTGTAAGACGAAATCCTTCGATGGTTACAGACCTTGAACGACGTGGCTCAAAATTGTTTGCAATGAAGCAGGTGCATTCATTCATTGTGTTCTCTCAAATACGAACCTTCTGAATTCCTCATCTCAGTCTTCCTCTTTCTAAAGTTATCTCACTGAATTGTACTTCTGGAATCATATCTTCAAACCCTAATCTCCTCCATTACCGGTTACACTTCTACTATCTCTAGCACTGTTGGATGTGAACTGACAGTTGGGGGGGGGTACGGCAACCTGAACTTATGTACCTTTGTGCGAAGTTCTACGATGCAAGTGACTGGCTGACATCTTGGGACTGGCAGTAGCCCTAGAGTGGCTCCTGTTGGTGTTGTCTCCACAAGGAAAACGTCAAATCGGTAATCCATGTAGCATAAGTGATAGGCTTTTAAAGATTTAGTATCATCATTGTTTGTTTTGTTCCTCATGATTATCACGAAGTAACTTATTTTTAGATATTTTAAAAACGACTGTCGGGAATTCAGCACTTCACTCACTTCATCTGCTCTATTAAGGCGTTTAGTAAGTATGAATTATCAAGAATACTTCCTTTAGTCATGAAAAAAATGACTAGTTGTCTAAGAAGAAAAATCTATGTTATAGCATCGTAAATCAAGAAACCATAAATATTGAATGATGAAAGGCGATAGTTTTTTAAGAATGCTGTAAAGATACAACAGGGACTATTCTACATAGGTTCGAAATTCATGTTTACTGGAAAAAAGTATTTCGTACCTCATTCGGGCATAATTAATTCTATTAACCAATAGTTACTAACTTATACTTGTTTTCTCTGTCAAGTGTAGGCCACCGACCATGGATTTCTACCTCCAATTGACTGCGTAATGTTTTAATCAAAAAGGTTACAAATAATTGCAATCATAGAATGCTATTACAAGGTTATTTAAAAAGGCGATAATCTAAATAGGTTGACCTTTTAAACATTAACACTGAAATAATTATGTTCCATCTCTTTTATTGATATGATTTTCTCATGACACCTGAATTAATTTACCATTCAAGTTATCAGCCTTTTATAAGTCCGATGAACACTATTCGACAAACAACATAAAATATAATCCCAAGAAAATAGGGATTACAAAATAATAAACTATAAGATAAGTCTAAACTATTTTTACTTATGTGTTAATTTAAAACTGAAGGAATTGTTTGTTGAAGTGAATACGTTACACAGGAATACTGTTTATCTAGAAATAAAAACTCATTGTTTAAATGAAAAGTCAAGTTGAATCAAAAGTTTCTCACTTGGTCAATCAGTAGTTATGTTCTTTTGCACAGTATTTTCAATGAGTAAACTAAAATAAAAAAATTCATAATAATTTTGTATATGTGATGAAATGTCGCATATTTCGTACATAAGTCTTTTTCGTCTAAACAGGAACATGCAGTCGAACTTTTTGATTGCTATACATATATATACAGTAAAAATTATAACGAAAAGTATGAGAAAAGTAATTTTTATTTGTTTGCTAAATTTTTCAAGATTTATTAGTTTTTCTAAATTAAGTTTTTAACATGGTTTACTCGTTAACACGAAAAAACATCCTTTGACTTTTTAAATCTAATGACTGTCCCGCGTTTTCATGAATAAATCAGTATGAAAACTATTTATATAGCTATGAGTCATTACTATAATGGTTCAAAATATATTCAGTACAAATGGCATTCAGATAAATATAGTTAACTGATACTATTAATGGTAAGATCATTTTCAGAACCTAAAGTAAATACTTTATAATACAAGGGTAGAATTTTAATCATACTTTCCAGTTGGGGACGTTAGATCCCCAGAACTCACTTGGAAAAGGTGCTCATGTTGTAATTCTATTCTGAAATTCTGAATTTCCGCGTTTTCGCGCCAATCAACTTTAATCGTCATTGGTTGATGGATTATTATAGTAGTCTATTTTGTGGCTCTCCCAAGGGCGTCTCTATCATTGTATAAATATGTTTGATTTGTATGCTTAAACACCTCGTATTTTCTGGGTGCGTGTAGAATACATTCTCTACGCCTTATCAGGACTTCTTGCTGTTGTTAGCAAGGCCTGGAACGACGGGTTAGAATAGCCTGTCATGTCACTGTATCGTTGGCCTTTTTTCAGTTTACCGAGTAAGGTGAACTCGTAATAGCACTAAAGCATATCAGTTGGCGAGCATATCATTTTCAAAAATTAACAAATATATATACAGCATAAATATTTGTACAAAATGTTTGTCGGTAACAAAATAATATTGTTTCTTTGAACGCCATTTGCCTATTTCTTGGCTTTTGTCAGGCCCGTAATTTCTTACTAAAATCAGGATTTTCAATACAAATGTCAAGACTTTTAAATGCATTACACTATCCGCATCCACAACAGCAGTTGTGTTTTTTTTCGGGTCTATTTCTGCATTACAGGTAAACATTTTCACCCTGGCGAATTTATAAAAAATCATTACTTTACCTTGATGTACTTTCTCGCTACATGCAAATGAATCAAAAAATACCATACGAAAACATTTCAGTTATAGAATCTATTTTTTCTTTAATCTTGCATTTATTTAAATCATTTATGTAATAGTGAAATGTAAATCTGAGTCACGTGAATTAATGAATTTTAACACTTGTTCTGGTTCACTTTTGTGTCAAAGTCGGTACATATGGTTTGTAAAGATCTTTCAGATATTCAAAGGAGCATATGCCTTAATCATTAATGTATACATTGGAAAACTGGGAATAAAATTCTTCAAACTGATAAAATACCCAAGAAAACTACTTAAAGAAATAATAAAATACAAAAGTGAATATGAATTTAATTGTTCTTGGTGTTTCACCTACAATAAGCAAAACTTACTGAGTTTAAAATATTTCAAAATTGGATTTCGAAGCAGTAAAATCACTGTGACTGAATTTTTTCGTTTTTTATCTGACTTTATGTGAGTGAATCGCCTGCTAAAAGATTCATTTATTGACTCAGAATCTACAGATGAAAGCTCTTTTTGTCAAAGACACTGACAAAATACAGTCTTCTATCATCTTAAGCAATAAGGTCAGAATGTTTGGTATGCGATTCTCTCTCTCCAATCGTAGAATGTTGTTTCAGGATTAGTTTGGATCAGCACTGAGATTAGTAATTGGGAGTGAATTAGTAGTACGTGTCAATCGCTTCAGTTATTTTGAGAGCTTGATAAAGCCCTGAGAATATTGGCATCTTGTGAAATCTCGGCTGAGATACAGAAAGCTCGTCTGGCTTTTTCCAACGTGCTTCACTTACGGCTTAGGCGAGATATCCATCCGCCAACAAAAGGATGAGTCTATTGTGCATTTGTTTGTTCCATTCTACTTCAAGAGTGTGAGGGATGGCAATTAAGAATAGAGGATATTCGTAGGTTATTAGTATTCAGACTTTGATATCGTCTCGCTCATATATTTTGAGACGATTGAGTAAGTAACAACTGGGTTACAAATAAGGTATTGGACAAGATGGCAGATCGACTAATAAGTAGTGAGTCTTCATCAGTCGAGATGATCGGAGTATTGGTCAAATATGCCCAACCACCGACTACTTCAGTGGGCAGTGCTGTCTTGTGTAGGAGTATTCCGGAAGATAGCTAGGAACGGCCAAACTAAAACATGGCACCAGTTCTTGAATCCATGGACGATTGGACTGAGCCATGTGAATGGGTTAGTGCAGATTATCTAGCCGGGTTCGGCAAGACAATCGTAACCCGTGGTTAAAGACTTTGAAAGACATGGCTAAAAACCATTTGCGACGATGCGAATGTATCCATTCTTTGTCTACCCTCAAATAGTGAGCTTCGGAATTCCTTAAAACCTTTATTTTCTTCTTTAAATTTATGTCCCTAGTTTATATTCTCTCAAAACATATCTTCGGTCCCTGATCTTTTCCATTTCCACTAATACTGTTACTAACTCTACTACTCTAGGATTTGGGTTAACAATTTCATCTTTCGATGGTAAGGTTGCATGGTAACTTAAATTGATGAAAGAAATCACCAGGTTTTCTGTCTTAACTAACTGACTTATTGACCAATTTAAGCCTGAAAACCATCTTGAGACTAGTAATTATCATGACCAGCTTTATGGCTCATATCCAGTATATTACGTTGCCTTATAAACAATTGTATGAATAACATAGCGGGAGAATATTATTTTTGCACAATACATTACCACAGCCATTTGCAAATCTGAATAATTCTACTACAAATTTTGAATAAATGTTCAGATCAAAAGATTCTCACTAATCAACTTTGGTTCACCTAAGAACCAGCAAAATATACTACTTTTGCAGAGTAAAAAAATTCGGCCTCTAAATGTAGGACTTTTGTAAACTGATTTTATAACAATATTTACTAATAATATTAGTTCTAATTCAAGACGCCATCCTTTTAGGAATTAACTCGAAATTGTCATTCAGAAATTATCATCTCATCGTACTTGTTCAATGTAATAACTTTCTGTCTCATCGTATACCAATCATATAACATAGTTTCACTTAAATATTGTGATTATTTATCATTTTGTTGTTATGATTGTTGTAAAACACATTGAAAATTTCACTTTCTTTCTCTAATTATTCAATGGTAGCTTATCCACTTGTCTCTACACGTGAGCAAATACGTGCATGGTTGATTAGCAAACGCTTGTGATTAGCACAAACAGTGCACACATTCATTGGAGTAGACTTATGGACATGCATATACAAATAGTAAGAACATGGTAATTCAGATAAACAAGAGAGCACACAAACTATATATATATTCGCTCAATAATTTATCATTTAAATTATACTATTTTTATGGATATTTCATGGGATTAGTTGAATCGAAAGTTTCTACGTTTGTTTCCTCGAATTGTACACCTGAATACAATAAATCCGTAGGCGAAGAATCCCGAGAACTATTTCTCAAAAATAGTGAAATCTGTAAACAAGAATTAGTCAGCAGAAAATGCAATCACATATCGATTGACAATCAGGGTAATAATTCATTGAAGAAGCAGATTATTTTATGGAAAACTGTCAATGCTACTAACAAACCAAATAAAACGTACTATTTAGTTGATGATTCTTTTGACTGTAAACAAGAATCATTGCCATCGTCATCATTGACGAACGATTTGCAAGTTTTTGATGACACCAGTCATAGTAATCAAATCAAAAAGCAAGTACCTGTTAGTCAATTGATCAGGCAGCCGCTATTGTCTAAAATTTCACCCAGTACTACTAACATATATAATATGGATTTAAACAATGGCAAGTGTCAAGTTCTAACAACAAAGTTGACAAAATCTCTCCACTATCAACAGACATTTACAACAAACAGTAAGAATAAATTTTTTGAAGTATTGCTAAACATTTTGATGATATTTTGGATGAGGATTTAATTATTGCCAACTGCGTACGCCTAGTTTATCTCATTTATCTTGCGAATTCATTAACTAATTAGTTAAAACTTGGTAAAAGTGTACTGTTTCATGTTTCACGGTTACCAGCTTCTATTGGTCAGTAAGTTGGTGTTTATACGTGTTACAGCAACCAAGTAGTCATTCTCGAAATTCGTTTATGTTATGAGCAGATGCATAAAACGATAAAATGTATTTTAGTTGTAAGTTATTACTTTAAAACTCTGATGACACAATGTCACTACATCTTAACCCTCATGACTGGCATAATGCATATAGCAAAATCTTGAATTTTTTACTACCATTTCGTGAGAAGGTTATGGGAAACCCCTTTAGCTGAGTGCCACAGTAGAATGATATTGTTATTTAATGATTGAAAGTTACAGCTGGATATCAGTTATTGGTGAAAAGTCTTGGATATTGTAGAACATCTTCACTACATCACATTAGTAAATCTAGATCCATGTAAAAGAAGCAAATCTATGTAATTAGTATGACGATGTTTAGAAGTAGTAACCGGAGAAGTAATTTCATTGAAGATTAAAGTTATCATGAAACAGACTCAGAGTAATTTAATTGTATGTGAAAGTAATCTGACAAGATTCATAGTTTATAGATTACTCTTAATCTTAAGGACAATTTTCAATTCATAAAAATGTGGCAAAAGAAACTTCACAGTTCACCGTTTCTTGGATTCTGTAAATGAAGACGTAGAATGCAGTTAAAAATCCAAGTCATTATTAATCTGGAGACTGTTTAGTCAAGGTGTATGATTTAATTTAATCATCATTGTGAATTCTCAGGATTTTTAAAGCAATAGAATTTAGTCTCGGAGTAATGCATCTCAATACACAGTGAGTACTTTTTTATGTATTGACAAATATATAGCAGCAGTATTCTAATGTAATTTTGGCCATAAGTTGTTGTTAATCAGTGGCTAAACTAGTGACATTTAATTTATTAACCAAAACTCTTAGGCTACTATGAGTTATTCCTAGTCTGTAGTCACGTCTTAAAACAATACATGTTTCATGTAGAAAATGATCATATTATTTAATTCACTCAATCAGTGAATCATGGGAATGATGCATTTTCTATATAATATCTTCTCTGCTAATCCGAATGCATTTACGTGTGAAAATCCTTTTAGTTTTCAATTTTATTATGAGATTATTGGACGTTAAAAAATCAATGAAGACATTAAATAAACTAAATATTAAAGATATAGAGTAGAAAATTCTTTAACGTTTACATACTACATTTTGTTCATTCTTCTTCTATAAACGAGTTTAAATTTTTCGTTATTAAATTAAACTTGTAGCTAAAATGATTGTCAACAACTTTGACAGTAAATTAAAGAAGAATAAATAAAACGCATAAGCACCTATAAAGTCCCTAAGATGTTAATATAATCTTACAATACCTCGTACAAGATTCAAGAAATTCTCAATACTTTCGTCTGAATGCACATTGTATTTTACTTTAAATGAAAGGATAGTATTAAATTTATAGAAGTAAAAAAATCTATGTGTAGTCTTATTTGTTCAAGAAAGTCTAATAGAGCGTTATCAAAAAGTGAAAAGGGAGGACAGTTGTCTTGTGAATAATTTCGAAGGCTCATAACTAATACAGATGTTCTCATAGATAGCAAAACACGTTCGAGTTAACCAATTAGGGGTTGGCTTCCATTCCTTCGAGCTCAGTCTGTTTGTGATATACTGTTATCTTCATTAGGCGTAATGTGAGAATTAAAGGTATGTGTACCGTTTTAGTGACGTCAGAATCGAGATTGGTCTATTTTAATAGGAAATCTCGAATTAATAGGGAAATTTAAAAATAATTGAAACGGAAATCCATTAGTACTTTTTATTTTTATTTTTTTATATTCCTCTAATTAGTTTGCTTTTATTCTTTTAAAAATACCTTTGTTAGATTGTCAATGAAAGTAGGATTACAGTAGGCAGCAAATATTTTTTTCTGCAGACAACAGGTGAAGTGCGAAATTAAAACAAAAGTGATTGATTTTCGTAGTTAATAAGGTTTTTTAATGAATAAAATCACGTTTAGAATTGTAACATATACAGGAAACAGAAAAAGTACCCACACACTTAGAAATATTGCACACTAGTGAAGTATTTTAAATATCTTACCAGCTTCATTAACCATGTGATAGAAGTGTATTTCAGTGATTCAAAATATTTCTCTGCCAACTAAAGCTACTACGAAATGATTTTATGAATATTAACCTACAGGGAAGATAATCTATGTGTTGTCTTTTAAACTAATTTAGTTTTAGTAGGAACGGATTCTAACTCTTAATGTCTAAATTTTTGCAATGTTAAATAAGACACTAAGAAGTTTCAGTTAATCGACCTTACAAATTTATTTTCTGTTAGATATGACGCATGCCAAAATGTTTTAAGCGATTTTCTGGATCAATGAACCACTATAAATAACTCTAATCAGACGGTACTTAATCATTATCCTTAACCCTTTTCTCTCTAACCTTGTGTGGTTATTGTAAATTTTTTCAGGTTAACTGCATGGTAAATAGAAAAACAAAAGTTCAAGGTGTAGGAAATAATGTAAAGCTGTCAAAATTAAATCATTACAGGATAGTTAGTAAAAGTACATAAAAAGGACAAACTAATACGAATCAAATGTGGAAACGATTGTGAAAAATCCATTTTCCTTTTCACATGATAAAAATGAATGCTACAATTACCAAATACTCAATTGTGTCTTTCCAGATTATAGTTAATAGGCAAATTGACATTATCTCAAAATGCTAAACGGAACCTCAGACTCATGAAACAAACATTAACCTGCTGTCACAGTATTTAGCAGATTAACCAATCAGATAGCGACTCTAGCGTCGTTGCGCGAAATTTGTTTATCTGCTTGGCAAAAGAGCATTTTCTCCATGATAGATGATGTCGGTTCATGCTAAAAAAACTTAACCCCTATATCCGTAATCATTACTCTCGAAGCCTAACGTTAAAAAATCTGTTTAGTTCTTTACATTCGTTAAAGAAGATGGATAATCCACACCCATAAAACCAATTTTAGGTCGATGTTTCTTTCAATTTACTGCCAGATTAACCTGTCGAAGGCTTTAGTAGATTTAGTAAATATGTAAAATCTGTTTACACATTGTATTATTATTTTTCTCCTTTCCATAAACTATTCATTAACTAAGTCTGTTTTCTGATTGGCTAATAAGTGGCTGAAAATTCGTCGCAGATGTTTTATGATCGCGCATATATAGTACTCCCAGTTATGGTCTTGTGAAGCTTGTTTCAGTTTACTACTACTACCACTACTACTGCTACTACTACTGTGGTGTGAGCTACTTATAAGTAGTATATAACGTGAGTCTCAACGTAATATCTGGCAGCAGAATATGGGGGAAGATCATGAAATGAAGAGTTAGAAAACGATGGAATTTGTATGAAACGCATGAATAGTGACAATGGATTGATCTTTTGCAACAGGAACATTCCAGTTCGATATGATGGACTGATATCTTGCAAATTAACGATTTACGATATGGTTTTCCGATTTTACTGAGTAACTCTGTGATTTTCGTTAAATACAATTCGGTTGCCCCACCTGTGTTCTCGTTCACTACACTACTACTACTAATACTACTACGAATATTTTATGTCCTTGTTTCACCCAACATTCTACATGTATGGTGATTTTGGTCTTTTGATTTCACTGAAGTTAAAATCAGAGATTTCGTACTCCGCTCAGTTCCACACATAACGATTGAATCAATTTTAATCAGTCGTCAAGACGGTATGATAATTAATGCTTAGATACCAATTCCTGTTTCACATAGATTTGGTTCCTCAAGGTAGGACGAGAGATCAACAGTTTAGGTCAATCACTTGTGAATGGACTGTCAGTCAGTTAATTCGTAATGAGTTAACTGTCTTTACGCTTGATTTATGTTTTATATGCAGACCAGTTTTAGAATATGATGGGTTTTTACTAGCCTTCAGTTCCCAATGCTACATCACTTACTATCTACCATTTTACTATGGAAATGATTATCTAGACTTCAATTAAGTCCCAGCTACATTTATCGAAAGGTTCTTTATCATTTATTTGAAATAGTTTGCTAAGCATCAAAAATGAATGTTACGTCAAAGTATGACTCAATGATCTGAAACGATAACATAGTAATGATTAAGAATTTTTATCATCAGATTATGTCCCATCTTACGTTATCCATTCTCAAAGTCTCTTTGTGTTTTATAATATGAATTATAAACAGTTAGTTTTTTTTTCCAGAAAAGGGAGGTGATCTATTAAATCCTATGTATTTTCCGCTTATATTTTGCAATGAACTCAGTTTGGTAGTTTATTATGCTTGGATTATTTTAGGTGCAAAAAATATGTTTTCAGTATATTCAAATGACCAAACAGTTCATAACTCAAGTATGCTAAGAGCCAGTATGATTTAGTTTTGTATGATTCCTAAAATGACAATGATTCTCAGCACTGACTTTTGTTGTTCATTTCTATCTTCATACAATATACCCTTATATGTAGTTGTAAAATACTTTCAATATATCCATGCAAGTGTCTGATGTCAGATTATTTTGTTGACCTTTGACCATTAAAAAACAAACAATGAACACCCGTATATGTAAAACTCTTAACTTCAAAACAAAATAATTATCCTTCACACACGGACCTACTTTCGTAGGTCGCTGTTTGATAATTCAACCCCTACGATGAGTTGACCGAATCGGTAGAATGTGAAATGTATGCAAAAGTTTCTTAGTAAATATTCAGTGAGCTTTAACTAAATAAACCTTTGGTAGTGTTACGAAATTATGTTGGTATTGTAAAAGAAAGTGTTATTATACAACTCAATAAAAAAATGCTTGTAAAAATGTCACTTATCTATAAATTTTATATCAAACAAAAATGTAAATCCAATTATATTGAAAATGATTGTACATCATTGAAACTGAGTTGATTATCAATAAGTAAAAACTTTATTTAAATTACAGCACAGAAACAATTGATTTATGTGTGCCAGGGACCATCGCAAAATCTCTATCTAACCTGTACTACATGTTATTTTCGATATGAAATTGTTTTATCAAGTAAACCAAGTTTATCTGCAGTGTACATTTCAAATGTGACAATAACAAAATTAATTTGACCGACACAAACCGATGCAAAAATCTGTTTAGTCTTGAAATTGAACTGTATTTACAACAATGCAAAGAGTGAAGGCATATTTCTTGTTGTTATCCCATTAAACCAATGATATTTAAATGCCGAATACTGTTCTATGAAATCTCAGAGACCTTTTTATTGGTGTTATGTATTGTCTTTTTATTAGATCCAGCTTTTATTTTCAATCACGATCATAAATCACAACTCACTCGTTCCAGTTAACCAATATTCGTACAATAACCAGATGATCGTGTCTTAAACTCCACTTTAAATCTGTTTAACAGCAAAATGTCGATTATGCAAAAACAGTAATCCAACGTTTACATTAGTGATGTATTTACATTCATCATTAGGCTTACGAGTAAAATGTTTGAAAAAGATGCTTTAGAGTCAAATACATTAACAACAGCTTTGTCAAGTGTACTTGACTGATTTCTTGAGAAACCAATTTAAAAAAAATTTGTCCTTACTACCTAAGAGCCTTTCAAAGATTATATATATTTAGGTTTGTCCCATCATACCAGGAATGAAGTTTATTCCCGTTTGGTAGACTTTGCATGGTTAATTGTCAACAAACTTTTCAAATCAATCGTAATTCGTTTGTTCAAGCTTAAACTCTTGGTCTTTTTTGTGTAAAATCTGCAAAAAATAGAATTTCATGAATTCATGAATATTTATTTATCCACGAAATCTTGCTTAAATATGTTTCACAAGATATTTCTAGTATTATCTAAAGGTTTGACTCCGGCAACTACGGAGTCAATCATTTTGTTTTTAAACTCGATAACTGTTGAAAATCCTGTTATTGTAATTTTGACTGGCTATATAGTTATTCGTATTCGATTTTTGAGAATAATAATCAAGTGTGATGGTGTGGCCGTGAGTATTCCAAACAAATCAGAAGACGAATACGAAGCGTTGATGATGTTCATTACCTCACTGAACCGATCACAAAACAACAAGCATACGAAGCGAAAGCGAAACGATATGCGAACGCTGAGGATAGAATGAATAGGATCAAAATGTACAAACATATAGGAAAATAAATGAGTCACGTGCTAATATCAACGTCATGATAGGGTAAATACTAATTACCTACATGATTTCTTTACTAGTTAATTGTTTGAAAATCATCAGGGAAGTAACTGATCAAAATTCCTGATAATACTCTCTGGTATGTGCTTCCATTATACATTCACGTAATCCTAACCGAGTTTTCTGTCCTTATATTCGATGATCAACGTTTTAAGATATTTTCATTTTTTATTGAAGTAACTCGAATATTATTGACTACTTTCTTAGGCTTTTTCCAATATTATAATTTTATTGAGATGTATTTAATCTGTGATTGCTAGGTATTCAGTTCACAGCTACGGTAGGTTTATATGCAAATTTATTTTGATAAAAATACATATTTCTTCTTCTAATTAGCATATGAATGTACTTAGATACACGTTCTAATGAACTCGATTTAAAATGGATATGCTAACTAGTGTCTTCATTTATTATTTCAAATGACGTTAACAAAATCTTACAGTTAAAACTTTATTTTACGTGATATTTTAGTATTTTTCAACTTTGATTTAATAAGATGAAATGAATGAATAAATGTGTTCAGTCTGTTAAGCCAAGGGGTTGATTATACAATGATACATTGACGGGCATTGATTTACCACATGAATGTGCTTACCCGTGTGTTTTCGTATGTAAGAATTCTTGTATTACAAAGTAGGTCAGGAGTTCATTAAGTGCCGCAAGAAAACACGTTTTTATGCAATTATATGTCATTTCAGTAAATGTAGTTTAAAAAATGACGAATATGTTGTTAGACCACCATTAGAAACCTGGAAGCAGTGGGCGGCCGTTTCGTCCTGATATGGGACTCATCAGCAGTGCGCATCCACGACTCCTGCACCTCACAGGATTCGAACCCGGGACCTTCGGTATTGTGCGCGAATGCCTAGTGGTGGTCTAACAATGATTGATTGATGATTTCAAATGTGTAAAAACACAAATCTCCAAAACTCTAGACTAGTGTATTTAACGAATTTGAAACTGTAATTCAACATATAGTCTCTCCCCTACTAAAATGAGGCAAGCATGAACAGTTGTTTTTTTCAAAATACGTTGGGATCTGTTTTCGCTTACCACAATATTTATTTTATGTGTAATTTTGACCCTGTAAAATAATATTCATAGTTAAGTTAATATGCTGAAAATTTCTCAACGCAGGACTGATAGGTTTTGTAAGCCACATATCTGAATAGGAACTTAGACTTCCGTTTAATTATCTTACTGAAAAATAAATTTTTATTATCATTCAATAACATTAAAGTAGTCTATCTTATAGAGAAAGTAAAATATAAAAAGAATATTGGATTTTAATTTATTAATAAATTAAATAGGTATTGCGTTAACAAGTGACACCGTCCCATGTTTACCTGAGCTGGTCATGCTACATCAAAGTTTGCATTTTTCTTTAGTTTGATTTGTATGAAATGGCCAAAATTTTCTAACTTGGCTTCTTCATGAAACATGATGTTTCTCTTCACGAATTGAATTCATTTTTACATGGCATATTAATTTACTAATTCTTCTCTTCATGCATTCAGTAAATGTTTTACATTGAAAAAGTTAGCAGGGACAATTGTTAAACTAAGATGACGGTAAAAAGATAAATTATGTTAACAATGATCATTGAGGACATACAGGAGAAGAAAACACCTAAAGATTATAGTGGCAAACACAAATCGGAGTATACTTATTTATAAATGTATCCAACACTCGAATTAACTCTATTTCTTCATAAGTCAATACATTTTATATCGTATACCTAGGGATATGCACTAAATTAAATTTGCTTCATTTTAGTATGGGAGTCCTCGGTAGCGCGCATTTATAACCACACATACAAGTATTAGACACATAAACCTCGGTCCAGAGCGCGAACTTTAAACCTACTGATAACCTAACTGGCTTCCAACGGTGTTAATGTCTAACCTGAATCAGTCCATAACAATAAATAACCGTCTTCCATTATTTTCGGCAGGTAATTGTCTAACCGCTGGTATTGTTTGGGTCCAATAATCATTAATTATTACTGGAACTCTAGAGCGCGTCACATGTATCAGCATAGTGTTGTCTCGACTGTTGAATTTCATTGAAGTTGTAAATCAGTCTCTGTTAAATTTCCATGAAAAATCCGTAAGTAGTGGAAGAAGGTTTATTTTGTGGAGCCCTATAATATCGCTCGTAAATTTCTATAGAGGCCCAGTAAAGCCAGGAAATGGAATAGAACCTACGATTCTGAATAAATGTTCAGCCGTACCGCTACTATACCTAATATGTTTCCTGAACCTTACCGAAGCTCGTCATGGTTAACTCTATCAATACCTTCATTTTTTCGTATGTAAACTAACCTTAGATAAAGTGTTCTTCTCACACTTCACGCCATTTCTCTTGTATCGAAAATGATGTGTAGATTTAGCCTGAGGTTAATAGAAGCAGATAGAAAACCATATCTTTCCTTCTTTTACGGGGCTTGTCAGGTTCTTCTTCGTAAGGGACACATCAGTGAAGTGCATCCAGGATGCCAGCCGAATGGTCTAGAGGTTAGGCGTTCACGTATGGATAGAAGGTCCTAAATTTGTTTTCTGCATTCAAAGTCATCAACTTGAATTTAGATTCAGTCACGAGATTTGAAATTTATTATCATATGCTTGGTGTTGATGACATTTTATAAATTAAAGGCAGTGATTTTTCCTTAAAATTATTATGTTATTTAAAAGGTGACAAAGTGAATGGTTTTGGATAAATCTAGTCCTTCTCAGAAAAAGTTGAGGGAGTTAATCAATAAAACTGGAATTCATACCGGTTCGATATCAAAGAAGTTAAAAAACTCATTTAAATAACATTTTTGCTGGAAAAAACAGTAATCTAGAGTGTTGATCTGCCAAATAGTATTTTTTTGATATTAAACATATATAGACGTACGTTCGATAGAAAATTCACTTCAGAATCTAACTGGTTGATCAAAAATCAAGTACGATCACGATAATAAAGACTACGAAGTTATGTTGTTAAATATCACTTAGTCAGTCCTGAGGTTCAAATCTCAGTGGCAATTACAATTTATTATTTTCTGTGCAATATGCTTTGATAAATTTGTATGAAAAGTTTAACTACTTACAATTATTCAGTAGTGTTACTATATGTTCCACATTATTGCTATTTGTACAATGTTAAATTATATGGGCGTTAAAGTATAGTACAAAAATTCATACTGAACAACTAGTCTGAGTAAATGCCTTATCGGCAACTTTCATATAACACGTCTCTTTATAAAGTCATATTTATTTACTTGGCCTTACAAACATGCAACTGATTCACCTGAACGTTCTGGCAAAAGATTAAATTATCTCTTTCTTTTCCGTGTAACTTATAGGCATGTATCCGGAAGCTACCGATGAATGGTCAGATATGCTCGAAAAGCATTCACATCCATGTCTTACGAATCGTATATGTGTACCACAGTCAAGCATCGTTTCTTCAGAGAAAACAGGTCTTCTACAAAAAGATATGATTGAATTTTGAAGTTAAGTATAATATTCTTTTATTTTAAATTATTTTTAGTTTTCAATCGCTGAGAAAATAATGAAAGAACAAAATACGGTGCTTCTATTTCTATTGTTCAAATGTTCTTTTAACTTTCATAATGTCTCATATGTTATTTCCTTTATAAAATTTAAACAAACTATGATGACTTGATGAACTTCCATTATTTTTTACATAAATTAATATACACGCAATGAATTTGGGATATTTGTTTTTAACATAACCAAATATTCACTTTCTTTTTTATTTGAACTTGTTACTCGACAATAATTTACTTAGTTGTCGACCATTATTCATTTGAAACGAAATTATGATCAACAAAAAAAAATACTAACAATTTGAAACTATGACTTATCAAATTCTAAATAATGTTTGAAAAAAAAACACTTGGCAATCTATGTCGGTTCCATGAATTTTGAAAGAAAACTTTTCAGAATTTATTCTGTTCATAATAGTGTTTAGTTTAGTTTGAAACGATCCTAACATATCTGATGAAAAAAATATCTTCGAATCCGAGTTACTTTCTTTCATGAAAACGAAATAATTTAAAATTGAATCATAACTGAGAAACTCAATAACTACTATGATCATAAACAAATACAGTCTATTTTTAACTACTGGTCAACATCAGCTGAGAAATCACTGAAACGTTTATCCTGAGTACTGTGAATGTTTGGATGGTATTTTTTGGAAATTACTGACAGGTAGATTTTTGAATCAAAATGTTGCTATATTTCTCGTCTTATTAAAGTGCTTTTTAGTTTTGGTTATTATCTATGGGAACAAGCTCTTTTTTAATTTATCACCGTGGACTTACGGTTTCGTATTGTTGATTTTAATTGTAAATGTTTTCATGTTTGTTTTGTTTTTTTGAAAAATACAATTTATGCTTCCTCACGAAACCTTTATACGTTTTTTTTCACCATCCCCTATTAAGTTTAGGTGTTTTACACAAACATCTAACATTATGTAGATTTCCAGCTGTGATCGATGATCTATGAATGATTGTTTGGAGCATTTTACAGTAGCTGGCTGCATAGTGAATAACTAGGTAAAATCAAATGCATAAAATGTATATTCATATACTTAATAACATATTGTGAACTTAATCAGTGTTTGCGCATTCGATGATAAACTAAAATCGGTTATTACTGTACAGAATATGGTTAAATGTATATAGAAACATGTTGGTTGCTCGATTCTCTTTTGTTTCTTCGATGACCTATTTCATGGATCAAAACAAATAATTATAAGTAAAGAAAGAATTACTAACTGATATGGTCAAATATATGAGCACAGGGTTTAGACTAATAAATGAGTAGTCTATTTTTGTGGATTATTTATTTCTACTTGAATTAAATCTTTTCAAGTTTAATCTATTGAAACACTGGTTGGCATTTTAGAGAGTTATTTCTATGGTAGTAAATTTTTACTTGTGATACAGATAGAGAATCGGTCAGAATAACAACAAAATTTAAACAAAACCTCATTGATCTTTATCATTATGTTAATAACTTCTTATATCGTAACTGTTCACCGGTAACTTAGAGATGTGAGTGTATTCGTCAAACGTTAGGTCATTGAGAAAGTTCAACTTGAAGCCGTACTACATGAAATTTATCAACATGGTGTGAAAGTATTTGTTGTTTGGTTTAAAATCAGGCTAAATTTTTATGTTCTCTACTTGAGTAACGCCAAACCACTGTACAAATGACAACACCGAACGTTAGACTCCCACCGTTCAAAATATAAGAAGGCGGAAGTCGTTGGAGAACACTTATTAACAGAATCAAAAATACACAATAAAACATGTGTATTTATACAATTATATATATATATATATATATATATATATATATATTGTCGTTAAAATATTTGAACATTAATCAAATAGTTCATCAATCGACTGCCCTTGAAATATGTAAGCATTTAATCAATAAGTTAATCAATCCACAATGTGTGTGGGTGGCTTCTCGATTGGCTATCCCGACATAAATGAAATCGCGATCGAAAACGACACTACAAAGTTATTCTAGCTATCGATAATCTTCCGTGAAACTGGAGCTTGTACATTAACTGATAATGAATTAGTAGTCAGTATTATATTTTCTGGTGACGACATTTCTGACTGAATGATATATTTTTGAATTCCACTATGAATAACACTATGTTCAAAATCGCATCTGCCTCAGTAAGGAGAGGGAAACAATATGAAAACTAAGCCTATAGCTTTCTGTTGACAATTACCGACTGTCTAACGTCAAACAAATTGTCTTACTACGTTGAATTTTTGAGCCAGGTACCAAGACTGCAACCTAATTGGTGCAATTCGATGAGAAATAAAATCTAGAAAAAACATGATATATACCATTATCAAACGACCAAGTAGTTTATTTTTATAATAGAAGAAAATGCACAACATGACATTATAAGAGTGATTTTTTAAATATACATAAAATATCTTTCAAATTATGTCGAACTTTATGTAAACATTTTATAAATGATTTTCTTTGAAAGGAAAGGGAAAAATGATTACATAGCTAGATATTTATTTCAGATAAATCATAGTTGACATTTAACTAGTTCAGTGGTATATTACAAATCCGTCGGAGATAAATTATGAACCAGTTCAGGGGCTCAAAAGTATGTTGCTTACTATAAAAACTGACCATTTTAGGTTTATTTATGAACTAGCCATTACAATCTGATACCCTAGAATAATGATATTATTTCCAATAAGTTGTCTTCATAAACATCCTATTTCTAATTATAATTATAATCATTTATAATCAAAATGAAATCGTATACGAATATAGTTTGTTTATAAAATACTCCCAAGTAAATTTCTAAAATTATCTTCAAATTAATTTAATTTCAGAGTTAATTCTTAGTTGTCTGTTGAAAATTGTGTTGTAAAAATTGACAATAATATTCATAGAAAATAAATGCTTATTTAAAACAGTGATATTCTGTTACTGTGATTTCAAAATTGAAGGTTGAGAAGTTGTATTTACATGATCCCGTCTCTCATAGCTATCGTCCAGTCCAACTTGTATTTCTGATCATCTAATTGAGAACTTGTTTTCTGATGAACAGAAACTGGTTTTTTTCAAAGGAGGAGCATTTGACCAAGTGGATCATCAAAGTCATTTCGTTTCACAAGACTGATAATGTGTTTCGAGAAATTTTTGCTGATGCTGGATTTCCAAAATATCAGTTAGTCAGACAATTGAAAGTTTACGGGAATCAGGCTTCCTGTCACCTTGTTGTCTTGGATCTTCATCGCGAAGAGAATGATTTTTATACTGAATATGTATGCATAATGAAAGGCTATCGTCAATGACCGATGAAATTTTCATCAGCACGAAGGTATGTTCCTTTAAATATCCTGGTAATGATAATTAAGCAAGCTATTGTTTGTGGTTGTCAGTTCTTCGCCCATGATTTTATAGTAGATGGATTTTTCACCGTAACGGGATGGTCAGTGATTTACAATCATAATATACTAACCTTTGTTCATGAGCACGGTCCATAGTTATGTCGTTTGACACAAGGGAAAATCCAGAGTATCCAGTCTTCAATGTTGTCTGGAGCTGAAGCCTTCATTGCAATACATTTAATTTACGGTACGTACGGAAATCGAACGATTGCGCAGGATGTCTGCGATATGCAGTTAACCTAAGATTTTTCTGAATGTTGACTTATTAGTTATTTTTAAAATCTTCACAGCACACATCATCGCAGATACATCATGACCAAGACGGTCAGCTACAGTGCTATACTTTTCTGCAGGAAATCAGAAGAACGTGCTTTTCACTTCACAGATATTATCAGAATCAATGGCACTTAATATGAATCTATCTATTCATCTGAACTAACTAAAACAAATTACTCCAATAGTTTTACTGAAACTTTCTTTATTTTATGTTTCAGATTTGGCGTAGATCATTAGGAGGGTGTGAAATGGCTGTTATTAGAACAACCTAATAAATTGATTTAACAGTCTACCATTTTCATTGAAGCTGACAAAAATTATCGAACAATGAAAATTCAATACATGTTTACTGATTCCGGATTTCTTGTATTTACCTAAGACTGCAAAATATCATATCATGAAAGCAGAAAATAATGGTTTCTAGGTTTGTGAATTTTATTGATGATGAGAATTTCTGATTTTTGATGATTGGAATTAGATTGTGTGTTAGCTAAATGAACATGCCTCCTCACATTGAATATTTAACATAATCAATGATAAATTAAAATTAAATGATTCCGTTAATTGTTAACATGGATATAATTTTGATCAAAACCATTATCAACCTATAACACACTAAATGAATGTACTTTTCAATTTCTTTAAAACTTCAAATAATAACAACAATCTTTATAATGCTAATGATTATATAACAGTCGTGTCAACTTAATAATGTATTTTCTAATTCCATTTCATTTATAGTAAAAAATACATTAAACTGACCTATTTGGATTAATTCAATCTCAACTTAATATTTCATTGCAACTTTATGAGATTAATGCAATATTCACTTTTACATAGTACGAATATATATTCTGCTCAGTGTTGTTAAGATTTATTTTTACAGTATATACTATATGAACTATAATAATTTCGATTTCTATCACAGAATAAAGCCAATTTTTTAATTTTAGAAAGCTTATAGTTACTACTATCAACAGCATTTCAATAGAAAACTCCACTGTAGCAGTCAATGCTTGACAATGAATCACTGAGTGATTTACACACGAATATTACTTGATATACACACTAACCCATTCGGCTGTAGTTTAGTGAGTTTGAGTAAATTCTTTATACTTCCGTCATGCGGTCATGTGATTTCCTGAAGAGCTTATTTTCATCCAACTTTCTACAGATTCACTTTTCTTATGGAACACTTTCTTATTGAAATGCCACCATGTTTTTGCACTAATTCAAATATTTTCTAAAAATATTACGTCACGAA